TTAAAATTTTTCATAAGGTGTTCCTCTATGCCCCTCCACACATTAAGCAAGCTGTGCCGCTTTGGCAGGGTTAACAGATAAATTTTCAGTTTTCGAACTCTTCCTTTCGAGGCTGGCGCGATTTGCTCCCAGGGAGTGTGGGGGCTCGCTCTGCAGTCTAACTTTGCGCCAAGTAACTGGCTACTCTTCGCTGACTTCACTGCCGTTGCAGTTTCGTGTTCCATGCTGGAGTTCGGTGGCACATTTCTTTTTTTTCTGTGCATATGTCTCATCGCTTTCTGTACACGTGGCATGCTTCTACGGTCTACTGAAGACAACTCGACGCCTACAACAGGAAACACTCTAATTGTTGACATCGCGAGCACGATATAAGCACTGACCACATGTGGACGCACCGAGCACATGTGTACGTCTGTCTCCTGCGGTTAGTACTACTGTTGCTGCTATCTCGTGCGCCATAGCTCAGACTTTCCAGACATCACAATGATGTTTTTTGTGCCCGGTCGCTCCGTCGGGTACAGGAAAAGACCCGAGAAACACTTCTCTCTGCCGTGTGACCTACTGTAACTGCAGAAGTAGGAAAAGATCCATGAGAAAGTTTGGGAAAGACAGGCAAGGTGAACGATGTTCACTTTTCAAGAAAGTGACATCCTGAAGACATATAAGCATATCATAAATGCAGATGTCGAAATCGACCATGGTACATGGGCGTTGAGGTGTGATGCAGCTCCTTGTTTATTTCTGAACCTCCCAGAGTATGTGTCATGAAGCCGCTGTACAACAAACAACTACTGCTGCCTTAGCGATCCACCAAAAAAATCCTGGCAACAGGTACCCGCTCCTTCATAGGGCCTTTAGTTTTTCTGAGCGATTGGAAAAAAAGTGTGCTTTCAATAGAGTTTGGGGGTCACTGAGGAGGCAAAAAAAAACCTCCGGTAGTAATCTTCTATAATGCAGAATTCAAATGATACAACTACTGGCACAGCGAAAGGAGAAGTGTGTCGCAAAGAAATATTCATTACAAGGACTGTGTGGGCATGACTGGTGCTAACAGAGGTCTGTGTGTCTTGTGTCATTTTAGAGAGAAAACTAAAGAAAAAAGAAAAAAAAAGGCCAAAAACGAAGGAGAAGGTACAGATTACAACCAGAGAATTAAGGAAACGCGTGATCTGTGCCACCACAGCTCGAGAACAGAGAAAACTTGAGATACGCTAGCCGAGTGAAAAAAAAAAACAAATTGAAGACTGCATGCATCTAGGAAGACTCTCAATGATCTAATTGAAGATTTACCTAAGTGCAGAAAGTGTCCATTCATTGCACATCCATTGTGCACCGAGCAAAATGACCGAATGGGTACAGATACACAACAGACTGGCTCTTGCTTTGTTTGCTGCTTATGAGCCTAACTTATTTCAGGAATTCAGCTATGCGCTTTTTTGTAATTCGAATGCCCGTGACTAAGTGTGTGATAGTGACAAGTGCTCTTTTGTCAATGCACTGATGTTTTCCTATATTCCAGAAATTTGAATTTTTTTATTGATCCCACTGAAAGACAACCCTAAATCTGTATACTTCAATAGAAAGTGCACTGGTTTAACTTTCAATAGGGTACAGCCCACCGAGGTGCTTATCGTTGCGCAAAGTTAATGCGCCCAGCGTCGAAGAACCTTGTGCTAAGACTCGCAAAAATAGCTTTTAAACGACTAAGCTGGAACCAGATGAGTCACATCTTTTTACCGAGATTTGGTTGAGACATGACTGATACAACTGAGCTTTAAATTTTGTTTGTACTACCTGGAAGAGCAAGAAGTTAGAGGGCTACAAAATGGCTCTTTAATCGACAAATGCTCGCCTAGCACCACGCTTACGCGAGCTATTATTTTTGCTAAGGACCCGCAAAAACATCGCACACGCATCTAGGCCCGACGTTGAACTCCTCGTGCCTAAACCAAGAAGTTGCGGGGTTGTGTAAACGCTGCTCACTGGCTACACCGTGCCTAGCTGTCACAGACGACCCTCGTTTCCTTGGTGCAAAGTTGGACTGCAGTGCGGCGGTGGCTGGGACTGCAGCCGGCCACCTGCTCTCCAAGAAGTAGAGAGTTCTAAAAAGTATCTGGAAACGTTGGGCGGGGCATATTCTTCAACTCATGTGGGTAAGTATCATTGGATGTTCTTGAGTCACAATTTTCTTGTGTCACAGGCATACAAGCTGGCATCACGCAGTCAGTTTTCAAAGAATGCTCAAGTGTTACCACTCCTTGTGCGACAATATTGAACCAAATTTTTCCTGCAATGCGCTAAAGTATCAAGAATGTCCCTTAAAACTTCAACCATCACAGCATGTAGGAATTGGGGCTAGCCCGCCGCCATTGCACGGGCTTTGTCGCCGTTCTCATGTCCTAACATGACTCTACCCTCCTCTGCGGTCCATCAGCACCGGGGGCGCGAAGTGATGCTGACCCAGCTCACCCGGATGTCGACCGTGGCGCTGAGCTCGAGTCTCTCAGGACGTTTCATGCACGCGCTTCGGGAGTCAGTCAGAGACCTCTTCGGACAACAAAGGGTGAGCACACATTTTCTTTCCGTCCATAGGCTCCTTTTGTTTGAAGCTCGCTCAGACTCGTCAACGGCGCCTTGCACCAGCGGCGAACGCTTACCTTTTATTGCCCCTACCGAACGATAGGACAAAAAGCAATGCGGTGTGCTCGCGCATGGTCGTACTACACCAACACGTTGGCTCTTGAAGCCAACGCAAGCAGAGTGTGGCCTCGCTAAAGCAATCGGGCCCTGCGGTGACAGATCGTGAGAAGAGGCAGCATAGTCGAGAGAGCCCATTGGATATATGCCCGTTTCCCTCAGCAACGTGTCACCGTGAATTCCTTTTGGCTGCAGCGTGGATAAGCCCCGTTTGCTTTCCCGCAGCCTTTTGCAACGGGCACTGTACTGCGTTTTTAGTGCTGCCACAGGCAATAAAGTGATGCGACTTGTTTGAGAGCGGTACTGTGTACTTGCCACGTTGCGCTCGGCACCTTAGCTGTCCGAATGCGCGTGTGCAGCGGCGACAGTCATGCGAGGCGACGGTGAACTAAGACCGAACACACGCCAGTGGCCGTATCCCTTCAGGATACACTGTACAGTACAAGCAGAACTGAGGCTCAACAGCGCTATGTCACATATACCATGGGATGAGAATGGAATGAAATGGGAACATGAAAATCAACGTTGCTGCTAACGCTCTGAGGTTTATCCAGTGGGTCATCCGCATCTTTCTGCATCAAGTGTCCCACATAGAAACGCCAAAACACTAGAAACGAGGCAGGCATGCAGGGGCTTTCTTTCATGCCGAGTTACCACCAGTGCCACATGACGTCCAACTCACCAGATGTGTCTTTCTCACCACAGCTCTCGCTCACAGAGAAGGAGCTAAGGTCACTCAAGAAGTCTTCACCTAAAGAGCCACTCTATCTTTCAATCCAATCCGCACCGAAGTCTGCGTTTCTTAATTTTTCAATAAGACTTCCTCCAGTAGTATAAGTTCGCTCTAGATTACACAGCCCCATGGACTTCCGTGTATCGAAGCATAACAAAGCATTAATACGAAAGTGGCTATCTGCTACGAAACGATAAATACCGATGACAAGCCTAGCTCACCTTTGGCCATCTGTACTAGAGGCGAGTGGGCAAACACAGCTCCTCCAAGGCACTGAAGCGGTTAATCTTTCGCTTCACTGAACTAATTTCTAATGAATTCTATGAATGTCTTATCAAGGACAAACTGGCACATCCAGTGACTAGTGTAGAGGCTATAACATAAATATTAGCAATTTATTCTTTGTCCCGGTACACATTTACCGAATGTATTTGCTGGAGCCCTTGCCAGCCTATTCTTATGTGCCGCAGGTCGCTGTCTCCATGAATGCTGATATGACAGTTTGTGAAAGTAAAACATAAAACAGTGGATTGCGAGCAGCAAAAACGACATTCCGCACACAAATGCAGCAGCTTTTGTTATGTTATGGCTAAGCCACATACGCTCAACAAAAAGAGGGCCATTGTCGGAAACAAGTAGAGCCACGAGTCGAGGTCAGTGGTATAAGATCGAAGCACCGGCCAAGACTTCCCACCCTTTCTTGTTATCCGCTCAAACACCAACACCCCAAGTTCTCGAATCGCATAAGAGGAAATGTCTGTATATGGGGATCTTAACAAAACCATTCATAGTCCACTTACTGGCTGACAGACGTGCTGCACATGCCACTTCCAAGGTGGTCTTAGTTGTGCATGCAAGCTTGATATTTGGCTCAAATGCTGTTGACTAGTGAACTTGATCGTGAAACTCCAGAGCAGCCAGCGTGCCTTGTTTCGTAAAATTTAAAATGCCAAGGACGCAAGTTCGTTTAGGCACTCAATGTGTGAGTAAATCATGTTTGCACTTGCAAGCCACTCTGTACGAATGTACACTTGACAACATTATGGCTCGGTAACTTTGCATAAAAGCAAAAGTGCAAACCTGTGACAGTTGCCATACCTCGGAACCCACGCATCTTACGGACCCGAATGACACAACAGCAGTTATGTCGAAGGTCCAGTGAATCAAGCCGAATCACTTTCCAGTATAGTCTGCAGCTGTGTGTGGCACTGTGCTACGCGCAGAACCCTGCCAGCAAACTTCAGCACATCTATATAAAGATTGGGCCACTGATCGAGTCAAAACGAACTAGAGATTGTTCAAAACAAGGGCATTGTATATCAAAAAACACTTTTTGACTTGGTCAGTGAGCACCCCAATCTTTTAGTCATGCTTCCATCGTCAAGTAAAAACGCTCAAATTTCATTAGCTTCTGTACACTGTACATCACTTTATTATTTCCTCAGCCACAATCACGAAAACGAAGATGGAGTGCTTGGGCAACGAGCAGGCAGGAAAAGCTGTGGCCAGCCCCTTTGCAGACTGTACCACTGTTTTGCCGCCTGCTGGTGTGGTGGCTGCCAACACTCACCCTGGTGGTGCACAAAGTGTGCAGTTGCCAACTGTGGGGGCACCATAGGACTGTGGGGCATCAGGTGTGGGGGAGTGTTAGCCCCCGAGTGGGGCACCAGCACCAGATTTGGTTGCGGAGGCGGAGGTGGGCCCGAGCCAGCCGAGGGGGGTGGCGGCTGATGGTAGACGACCGGGGGCGTGCCTGCCTGTGCCCCGCCCACAGGCGTGCTGGCTCCCGGCGTTGGCGGGCTGGAGTGCGGGCCACCCCCCGTGCTGGCAGCTTGGTGACCCTGGCCTTGCAGCACTGCATAGGCACGAGTTGCACATTTCATGCCAACTCACAGAAGAGACGTCCAGTAGGGCTAGGAGATTGATTTACTAACCTTCCAAGTAATCGGGCAACGCTTAAAAGGAGTAATGGTAAAGGAGCAACAACTTAAATATGCTGGCAGTATGAAAAGAAAGCTTACAAGAGCTTACAAGAGCTTTCAACAGATGGAAGCAGGCAGTAGACACTCACTGTAAACCTGGGCGGGGAGGTGCGTTGCATCGCCATAGGAGGCTGTGTGGGTTGCAGCCACCATGCCCATGGGCTGCGGGGACATGACCCGATGGCCCACCATGGGGTACATCTGCGCCAAGGGCCCAAAACACTGAGCCTGCTCCGGCAAGATGCGAGTGGGAGGAAGAGAAAAAGAAGAGAAACATTACATTCACGACAAAGTATAACCACATTACGTATGTGATAAGCAGTCATTATTGACCTTCTCAGCATAAAGTAAAATGTCAACACTTGAGGCTAATAACCTCAAGAAAATGGTGGACATGACAGACACCACTTTGATGACAGAAAAAAAAAAAAAAGACTCTTGGGAGGTAGACAGGCAAGCATGGTGCATGACAGCTTTCACAACTAATTCCTCGTTCACGTCACCAGATACCTGGTCGTCAAATATGGAATGTGAACTAGTATATGCCCACCAGCCACGACAGTAATTCAATATACAGGGGTGAAATGAAACTGCTCAGATTAATTTTAATGTTATGCAGTTCATTTTTCTTTGACAGGACATTGCCTTCATCAAAGATTACAGAAGAGGAAATAGCAAAGCCCCAAATAGAAACACTAGCACAGAAACACTACAACAGAAACAGTAAAAATGTGCATTTACAATCAAGTAAAAATGTGCATTTACAATCAACCATTTTTTGAGATCTATGACATCCGTAAGCAGTGCACTGCATGCCTGTGGAAAAGCATGATCACGAATGAATAGTTTCATAGAGCATTAAGTACAGTGCTGATGAAAATAAACGACTTAATTTGGGAATAAGCGCACATTTTAATTTTCACCACGTTTAACTTGTGTCGCATCACCTAAACAATGGCCTATACACTTGCCTCAGAGCCAAAATCATCTCCTGTGGCCAGATCCGTGGCAGAACGAGGTTGCCTCGAGCATTTGTGCAATTCATTCTTGTCATTATCTTGAGCAATTGTGCAATCCATTCTTACAGCTGATGTTAGACTTTAATCCACGAGCAGCACTACATAAACACGCTTTGTGGCTGCCATTTAAAGGCAGAGAAAAAACAATGCACTAAACTAAGCCCTTGCTCGAGCTTGCCACAACACAGCCAATGAGGGCTAGGGTGAATTATATCACAAAATCCCGATGACGACATTGGTGTGGCTTTGCCTGTATTGTGAATTGGCAGGAATTACAGTTAAACCTGGATATAACGAAATTGATGAAGTCTCGGAAAAATTTGTTATAAAGAGGATTTCGTTATAAGCAGGTTTGGTAAAAAAATTCAGAAAATAAATGCACAAATTAAACAAGAGGTGTACTGAACGAGAGCTAACCCAGAACACTTATTTTACAGAAAAAAAAAAACTGCGTTATTATTGTGATAGCAATTAAATGGATACACACGGCGAGTTTTTCCGTCGCCGCCATGCCCCGTAACAAGTTTAAATTGATAAGATGCCCCAGCGCATCGCAACTTTCACGAGCGAATAAAAGCGCGCGAGCGCTACTGAAGCGGAGATCAAATCAGTCGGCCCATTCCTATCACCTGGATAACCCCGTGTGTTAGAACTAACGTCGAATGCTCAAACAGAGTAAACCACCAGCTTTGAACGAGCATGAAACAACACGGGCAAGGCGGGGGGAATCGATCTAGGAGCCTTAATGACCTTGGATTTTAAGGACGGTAGGGATCGCTGGCACACTCGCTCGCTCGGCAAGTATCAGTGCAGTTTCAACGCGAAGCGACTGTGTGAAAAGAGCACTTCTTTTTGGAGAGGTGGTATTTGCTCACACTAGCGTTTTGTAGGAGTTCCGCGATATCGGATCCAAAAGAGTTGGCTGCCAGCCTTACTTCATATACCATTGTAATCACAGGTAATCACAGGTACAGATATACAGATATGAGTGTGAACTAACAAGTGCCCCAGCTGTTACTTCGCCGCATTTGAAAAGCGCACTCTTTTCGCAAACGGTGCCTGCCTAGCGAAAACGGCAAACGGCACCTGTCTAGCGAGTGAAGTAATCTTTGTGCGCCCGGCAACTTAATGCAATCGTTCCTGTCAAAGTCGAAGGCGCTATTTCCCCCGCCATAAGCGCGGTGCACAAGCATCTAGCCTACCCCCCTCCCCTCTATTTGTCGGGCAAAGATAAGGCGCTGTCAGCGAAGTCCGACGAGCGCCGAGCGACTTCATCCGTCACGGAACAGCTATATCCGATGTCAACTGGTCCTTCGGGCAAAATTCGTTTGGTTACAGCGGCTTCCAGTCACTTTAGCGCCACGTCAGATGTTGCTGCATGCCGACGCTCTTTCCTTGCACCTTATTTTTCGGTACTACGTGCGTGCTAGTCAAGGCAAAAGGTATTTACAACTGCTCCTAACGTCGCTAGGACGATACTGACTTCATAAGAAACATGGCACAGACATTGGTGGGTCCAATCCACTTTTTTCCGATGCAGCAGCGCATGCTCCCTTCCCTAGTGGAAAGCTCGCAAGGCGTTTCATAATATGGGATGCTTCCATCCTGGCCATGGCGGTTTTTCCGGCCCTTATCAAATACCTCCCAAAAAAGGGCAAGGGGCAGCAAAGGAAAAATGAAGGCGTCTTCCATCGTCATACTCCGCAGCCACAGAACACCACCGGCATGCTGTGCAGAACCGAAGCGGAATCCAGAAATACAGAGCTTTGATTTCCTTGGTATCGGTAATTTTTTTCATTTTTTTTTTCAATTCGGACGACTCAATTCGGACGACTCAGCTGCCGCCAGAGGTTAAAACACCGGCGTGCCGCTGCTGGCAATTTCGGCACCAGCACACAGGTCTAGTTAAGAATGAAACAATGCAGGTTCATCGTTACTGTTAAATACGTGCGTTCCCTGCTTCTCGGAATGACTCCCAATCTGAATCCACTCTAGCACACTCAGCAGATAACTTCTTTGGCTGTGCCCTCAACCTTAAACACTTGGAAGCTAGGAAACATAGAATGAAGCGAACAGGAGGAGGCAACACTGACCTGCTGGTAGGCCACGGTCGCCTGTGGTGGCCCAGACGGGTGCATCATCCCCTGTGCTGGTGTGTACTGCACCATCAGTTGAGGGGCGTTGGGCAGGCCGGCAGGCGCCAGGATGGGCTGGCCTGTTGCTGCAGCCACGTGCATAGAAGCTGGAAGGTCGTGCCTCGTTTGGACAAGGGGCATGGCTGCACAGTGCAAGCGACGAGGGACACTTCTGTCAAGACAACACAGACTTGCAGTGGATGTGCAGCTTTTGCCCCAAGCTCCTATGTGGGGGGAGGCTACCTTGGAAGGGAAACTTTATTGTTTGTTCAACATCCTAACAAAATGTTCAGGATAGGTCAATAGCAAAGCCACTTGAATACAGTTAAACCCCTTTATAGGAGGCATGCTTTGAGCACCAATTCTTGTCTCTTATAACAGGGCACCTCATTAACATTTTCTTATCAGCCCGTATTTTAATACAGTCGAACACGGTTACATCGAACCCACATATATAGAATTTTGGGTATATCGAACACGCAAGTTATTCCCTTGTAAAACTATCGAAATTCGCACGTTTATATAGAACGTTATTTGTACCCACCCTCGGATATATCGTGTGCTTTTTTTTTAACCCCCCCCCCCCCCCCCCCCCCCCGCCGTCACCGCAGCTTCGCGTGAGAGTTGGAAGGCGCACTTTGGCACTCGCAGTGCCTGGCGACCTCCACGCGGCACCACGCCTCCGCCAAAACCTGAAACACTTGAAAAAGATAAGGGCGAAATGGCTCGAACTGCACAATCTCTAACTTGCGGAATGGTCTTTTTTTTTTTTTTCCACTTATCTTTCTCTCATGCTTTTTCCACGTCCCTTCGTTTCCGAGAGCAGGAACGAAGAAGCTGACGTTTTACTCCTTCGCCTTTTATTTTTTGTTGCTCTTTTGCGAGTTTTGATCACTCAACCACAGCTCACCCTTTTTGCTGTTGCCCTCGCAGGTGGCCGTCGCCGACGTACCACCACATGTGTAGCACTTCTCTTTTTCATGCATAGTGTGCAAAGCCTCGGCGGACTCCTCCAATTGTCGACTTCTCGTGTAGCTATGGCCAGCATCAAGAAGCGCAAGACCCTTGACTTTGTGACGAAGTTGAAGGCTATTCACCGTGCTGAGGCGGGCGAGAAATGTTCGACCGTTGCAGACAATTTCGGGATACCACGAAGCCCACTGAGTACCTTGTTAAAAAACAAGGCTGATATAAAGGCAAAGGCGGCAGAGCAGCGAACGTCGGGAGCCAGTCATTGGCGCGCTACTGCCCACAGGGATGTAGAAAAGGCACTCTATGCCTAGTTTTTAGAACTTCGCGCGAAGAACATTCCGGGAGATGGCCCGATGCTGATTGCCGAGGCCAAATAATTTTCCGCTGCACTTGGTGAAACAACTTCACCAATAAGAGAGGGTGGCTTCGCCGATTCAAGCAGCACTACAGTATCGTTGGCAAAACTAACTCTGGCAGAAGCAAAGCAGTCAGCAGCCAGGACATCCAGCAGTGGATGACGAAGGAGTGGCCAGAAATCTTCGTGGAGTTTTATCCCACGGAGATCTTCAATGCATGGCGAGACGTGAAGATGGACACGGTGGTCAACTGCTTCTGCAAGGCAGGCTTCATGACAGAGGACCTTGCGGAAACCGGTAAAGATAACTACAAGCGCATAAACGACGCGTTTCGCGAGTTGTCCCGCTTCCCGGCAGCAGTTCCACACGAAGTGTCTGCGGACGACTTCGTGGAAGCGGACTGCAATGTCCAGGCCGACAGCTTATGTGACGAGGAGGATCGTCCGGACGAGGTGCGAGCTACACGCACGTACTCCGCCACTGAAGTGGTGGCAGCGTTTGGCATCATTTGCCGTTGTATTGGCCACATGAAGGGAAGTGGGCTGTCGCACCTGGACAGCCTTGATAAAGATTGAGACTAGTGCCTTCAACATTTCAAAAACGAAGAAGCAGGCCAAGACTGCCCTTTTTTTAACTCAAATTATTCTGTTGCGCCGTGTGTGCGGAATTGTCATTCTTGAATGCGCCTATTGTAGGTGATGAACCGCTACAGGTAAGCTCTCGGGGCTTCAACTTTCTTTATATCATATTCATTTGCCTCTTGTATCAGTGTCTCTTTTGACTGTAACCACGAAATTTCATGCATTTATGTTCACTGGTACCCAAGTTACAACCATTCATCAGCGTAATCCACATGGGTTTCTTAGCTAGGCTCTGGTGCATTTAATGAATGTGCTAGCACTGCGTAATTCCTTATGATCATTCCTGGATGGGTGCTGCACACTGTGACAGCGCTCTTTTCTAAAATTTCCTTGCTGAAAATTTCTAGCAGAGCGCTGTTTGCCATATGCTTTTATCAATAAAATTTTAATTACCGTATTTAATCCAATGTAACACAAGTTTTTTTCAAAATTTCTCTGAAGTGGTTTGGGGGTCCGCGTTATAATCGAAGCAACTCGAATCATGCCTTGGCGGTGCCGCCCCACTGGTTCCTTAAAATGGCTACGACAAACCTAGAGATATTTCAACATTGTGCTGGCAACATATGCATGCCAGTCCAATCCTATTGTTTACGAAGTGCACATGGCGACGTGTTGCGGGCGGTTCATTTCCTTTGTGCTTCTGCGACTTCGGCTCGAGCAAATGGCAGCGCGACAAGTTCATTACGAAGCCTGCATTAAGAGAAGTGCAACACTAATGGCTGAGAAAATCGGGAACTCAGCCTCGGCTGGACGGCTAGATGTTACGGAATCTACTATCCATGGGTGGAGGCTCCAGCATGAAGCGCTTCAAGAGTGAGCACGGCCGAAAATGCTTCCGTGGACCTCGCGGACCTCGCTGTGGCCGTCACACAGAACTAAAGAAAAAAAAAAAAAAAAGTGGCGGAGTTTGTGATTGAGCTGCGAAATCGCCTATTTGTGGTCAACAGCCCCGCCGCGGTGGTCTAGTGGCTAAGGTACTCGGCTGCTGACCCGCAGGGCGCGGGTTCGAATCCCGGCTGCGGCGGCAGCATTTCCGATGGAGGCGGAAATGTAGGCCCGTGTGCTCAGATTTGGGTGCACGTTAAAGAACCCCAGGTGGTCTAAATTTCCGGAGCCCTCCACTACGGCGTCTCTCATAATCATATAGTGGTTTTGGGACATTAAACCCCACATATCAATCAATTTGGGGTCAACATTGAGCTGATTCAGTGGAAAGCCCGAGACGCAGCTCGAGAGATGGGAACCCTGCTGGAAAACTTTAAGGCTTTCTGTGGATGGGCACAGAAGTTCATGCAAAGAAATGAATTTTTCCTCCGGTGAACAACATCGATAAGGCAGAAGCTACCAGCAGATTGCGAAGCAAAGCTAGTGGAGTTTCAGCACTATGTGATCGACCGGCGCAACTCGTCGCAAATGCCGTTGGAGCCCATTGGCAACGCGGGTCAGACTCCCGTTTTCTTGAACATGCCTATGTAAATGGACTGTCAGCGAAACAGGTGCCTCTCAAGTTCGCATAAGGACAACAGGCAGCGAGAAGACGCGGCTAACCGTGATGCTAGCCTGCTTGGCAGATGGGCACAAGTTGCCGCCATACATCATTTCCAGTGCAAAACATTCCCGAAGGAGCTGTTCCCCACGGATGTGATTGTCTGCTGCCAAGAAAAAGGTTGGATGGACACTCTGCTTATGCTTGACTGGGTCAAGACTGTGTGGTGCCAACAACGAGGTGCACTCCTCCACCCCGTCTCCATCCTAGTTCTCGACTCATTTCACGGTCACCTGATGCCCGAAGTGAAGAAGCTGATGCAGGAAACTCAGATGCAGCTCGTGGTTATTCCCGGAGGTATGATGTCCGTGCTGCAGCCATTACACGTTTGTCTGAACAAACCATGTAAGGATAGAATGTGGCAGCTGTATGGAGAATGGATGCAAGAAGATCGGGCTTTGACACCTATGGGTAGGATAGAGCGACCTAGCGCCGCGAAGATTGCCGAGTGGGTGTCCGCAGCTTGGTACAACCTGCCGCACATGATAGTTGGCGCGTTTAAGGGGGGACACGGTTCTTGGCAACGAAAAAACGCCAAAAAAATAGATTTTTCGGTTTGGTGATTTTCGTTATCTTCATATCATCCCGCACCTGCCAGCAAAAAATGAACTCAAAATGACGCGTCGTTGAGCCAAAAGATGTCGTGTTTATTCATCCCAGCACTTGGCTTCGCTTACGAAAACATTGAAAATAGCCGCCTCTTGCATTGCTCAAATCGCGCTAACCACTAATGGGATCGCGGCCATCTTAGTCTCGTTTGAAAGAGCCTCTGTTGCGCTCGCTTTCCCGCCAGGAATGAACCTTCAATGCTGCAGCCAGTCGGCGCTACTAGAGGCAAAAACAAGCGACAAAACCATGCGGTATCATTGGTCCATAGCAGTCACGTGAGAGAACAGCGGCTTGTGATTGGAGCCCGGAAACTAACAACACTGATCAAGCGCGCGCGTTGTCACCGCCATTTTGGAAGTTTTGTTGTTTTGCGATCGAAATCGAGATGCCGAACTGTGCTCGAAAGTTCAGCACACTTCTCAAATTTGGCAAGTGACGGAAAAAATGTGCTGTGCAGCCCAAGGAGTCGTCGCAGCCACCGCAGGCTACGTCAGCAGAGCCGAGCGGGACAGGAAACCGGCAGTCACCGCGATGCAGCAGCTCGATATAAAGGCAGCCTTTGGTCGCTACAACTTCTACCAGTGGCGACACGCGCTCAGAGTGCCACAAATCATCGCAACTGCCGACGAAGATATCTGCAGATCTCAACGGAAGAGCGCGACAGATTCCGCGACGAAGCGGCGTTGCAACACAAACACAAGCGATCGCGACGGCGACTACGGTGCCGTAGGAATCACCTGATTGCGGTAATACTTCAATAAGGCGCCAGGAAACAACGCCGCCGCTTGTGATTAAGACAGCAGAAAATGCTGCGGCAGCAGATCTCGCAGCCGGAGAAAGCACGGCGGCAACTGCGACCACTGCCTGCAGTACTTAGAGTTTGCACGATAGAGCTACAGGGATAGACGTGACATTTTTGACATCGGCTGACCAAGAACTCATCGAGCGTCGCGCCCAGCAAAAAGCAGCGGTACTTTCCTCAGTCTCGGCAACCGTTCGCAAAATGAGTGTTCTCGCGA